AGTGGTGCTGTGGGTTAGGCAGTGGGCTAACTACTGCAAGGCTGGTAGGTGAAAGGTGAGGCGGTCTGCTTCTGTAAAGACTTAATCTTTGAAACCTTACATAAGGTCGCTAAGAGTTGGAATCAATTTAATGACAATGAGTTAATAATGCAAATTAGATTATAGCTAGTTCAAGTCCTTGCAACTTCAGGCTCATTTTACTTTAGGAAAAACCTGCTCCAATGTCCTTTGTTCACTCTTGGGATCAGTCACTACATTATTGGGCTGACCTGTATCCCTCCCTCCTCAGTGGCTGCCCTGGTCTTTAATCTCTAAGTGGGTAGGGTCATACCCATTGACTGGGGTGGGTCTTCCAGCATCCTTCAAGACCAGAAGAGCTGTCAAGCCCTCTAGCACAGTACTCAGACTACCTAGGTTCAAATCCAGTGAACTCCCCTACTCCCATTGTGTGCCTGACCTCTCTGGGCCTTTTTTCTCCCTGAGGATTAAGTGAACTTAATGTAACATTGTGTATACAGAATTGGGTAAGGCGGGGAGCTGAGCTGGGGAGGGAAGGGTGTCTCAGGGAGGAGGAGAGGGCCTCACAGAGGGGACTCTGGGATTTTGTCAGGATACTTGGGCTAGTGGGTGTACTCAGAATTTAGCCTTATGGACTTCAGCTTGTTGGGAGGTAGGTCCCTAGGTATTAAAAATGATTTGCATTGCCTACATAGCCTAAAGGTTGGCAGTTTGAACCCACTCTTTGGCACAATGGAAGAAAGGACTGGCGATCTGTTTCATAAAGATGACAGGCAAGAAACCCCCATAGATCCTTCTCCTGTGTAACACATGGAATCACCAAGTACAATTGACACTTCATTGGTGGGTTTTTAGACTTGTTGGATCCTCCAGGACAGACTCCCTTCCACACTGCAGGTTCCTGCCACCAGGCAGAGTTGGGCTGTTGTGCCTCGTGCCTTTGCTGAATAATAACTAGAAGGGTTCAAACAGGCATTTTCTGATCTCTTTAATATCCTTCAGGCCTGGTGGGCCCGTCCCCTCCAGACTTTCTATCTTTTCTCCCCACCTTTAAGGGTTGAGGCCTGGGTGCCTCCTCCCCCAGCCTAAAGGCACCAGGTGGTTGCAGTGGGCCAGCCCGACACAGACTCACAGATGAAGGGCATAGTGCAGAGAAGCAGGGGTACAGGGGCTCAGACCGTCGCGGAGCTCCCACAGGAGACCGCGGGAGGTCCACACAGATCCCGAAAGGGACCAGTCGGGAGGAAGAGGCGAGGTGGGCTCCTCACTTGCCCCCCTTGCGGGATAGACACCGCGGGAGGCAAGAGAAAGTCTGCTTGACTCGTGCCAGCAGTGGCAGCGGCCGGTGGGTTTCTCGTGGCGTCCGCGGCACCAGGCGCTGTAGCGTTCCCTCTGAAGCCCCAGAGGACGGCGCGGTGGAAGCGGCGGAGGTGGCGGAACCCTGGCGACAACGTTTGCATAGCGGCAGCAGCGCACGCATCTCCTCCTCATCGCGGAAAGGGCTCTCTCCGAAGCGTTCCTCCAGCTGCCTACGAAGCTGGGGTGGGGGTGAGGTGGGGCGGAGATCATTGCCCGGCCGTAGGAAGGATCGAGGCAGCTGACTCCCCTCCTCCGCCAGGCGGGCTAAGGAAACTTGGGCGCTCTCCACCCGGCAATTTCTAAGGACCTCCACGCTGCTTCCCAACCCCTGCTAAGCCCCAGTCCTCCCAGTCCTCAGCATCCTCTTAGCCACAGGTCTCAGAGTTTCCACCCCTTCCCTGACTTCCCCTTCATCTCAGACCAGCTAAAGTGACCCCCACCTACACAGTAGCGACCACACTAACACTTTCCTTCTTCCCATGGGCCTCAACAAATCTACCAAAGTCGTTCTTCACCTGCCTCTTTCCAAAAACAACCTTTCAGGTAAATCAGAACAGTCAGACACCTGCTGAGCACCTCCTGCTGCTTCACCTTTTTCTCTGTCTCTCCCCCTCTCATTCCTTGTTCCCTGTCCATTCCAGACATTTCCAGGTTCTCTGAGGAGCCCTATAGGAAAAGGACTGGCAGTTCAAAGCCACCAGCTGCTCCTCAGGAAAAAGATGAGACTGTCTGCTCCCTTGAAGATGCGCTGGACTGCAAGGTCGGTTTGAACCACAAGGCCAGAGGTTCAAGCACACCAGCCGCTCCTCAGAGGGCCACTATGAGTCAGAACCGACTCATGGTACTTAACAACAACAAACCCTATACATCAAACCACCCTGAATGCACCAGGCCTCCTCTGATCTTGGAAGTGAAGCAGGGTCGGGCCTGGTTAGTGCTTGAATGGGAGATCCCTTGGAAATACCAGGTGCTGTAGGTTTTGGAGTCCTGGTGTGGTGCTGTGGGTTAATGCACTGGACTGCAAAGTTGGTTTGAACCGCAAGGTTGGTGGTTCAAGCTCACCAGCCGTTCCTCGGAAACTCTATACAGGGCCACTATGGGTCGGAACCAACTCGACAGCACTTAACAACAACAAACCCTATTACAGACTCCTGGTGTGGCCCTGTTGGATCAGTACTGGACTGCAAACCACAAGGTCGACTGTTCAAACCCACCAGCTGCTCCTAGGAAATCCTATACAGGGTCGCTATGAGTTGGAATCAATACAATGTCTGTAGGCTTGGTTTGGTTTTGGGTATCTGTAGGTTGTTGTGAGTCAGAGTGGACTTGATGGCAGTGGGCTTTTGTTGTTATTTTTTTAGCATCTGCCCAGTAGACATGGACTCCTGATATGGTGCTATAGTTTAAGTACTGGACTGCTAACTGCAAGGTCAACAGTTCAAACCCACCAGCCACTCCTCGGAAACCCTAGACAGGGCTGCTATGAGTCAGAAGCAACTCGACAGCAGTTAGCAACAGCCCAACTCATAGTGACCCTGTCTAGGGTTTCTGAGGAGCAGCTGGTGGGTTTGAACTGCTGACCTTGCAGTTCAAACTGACCTTGCAGTCCAGTGCATTACTCTGCAGTGCAACACCAGGACTCCTGGTAGATATAGTGAAAGAATGGCTTTAGCTCCATCAAAGGTCTTGGCTGAGAGTATCCAGGGTAGGACAGTTCTCCCCAAAGGAGTCAAACACTCAAATAAATGCCTTGGGGTTCCAGGCAGACCAAGCAGGCAGTGGAGAGTGCTGGAATCTGGTCAAATTACAGGACCCATGGTCTTGCCTCAGGACATTCAAATTTTAAATAAAAAACAAAACAGAACACTGGCTTTCCAAATAGAATCGCCCTGGGGGCTGGATTCACTGAAGAGTCGAGTTTTCCACTCCAGGATTGTCTTTGGCCTGGTCTGAGGCATAGGATCATTTCTTTTCAGTAGTTCTCAGGCCCAGCTCATGTGGGGAGACACTCTAGTACCCCTATTTTCTGCTTCCAGGTGCAGCCCAATTCCTGCTGGATCCCCTACCTTCCGGGAACTGCCCCAACCAAACTCTTCCAGCTGCTGCTTGAAGCCTGGGTTGGGATTGGCGATGGGTCGGTTAGTCTTGATGGTTTCAAGCACTTCACGCCATCCCAGCCCCGTCACAGTCATCACATACGCCGTCACAATGGTGGTGCTGCGGGAGATGCCTGCAAAACTGGGACATCCCACCCTCAGGCTTCAGGTAAGCCCCAATCTCCTCCATGCTGCACCCCAGGCACCCCCTCCCCTCCTCGGCTCTCCTCTAGAGCACCAACCCTGAGGATCCTGAGGAATTTCTCTTTCCACCTCCAGGCCATTGTCCATGCTGTTCCCTCTGACCTGAGTATTCCCCTTGACATCCTGCTTGGGCATATAAACAGCCCAGGACAACATGCATTAACTCTGCAAACATTTCCTGATCATCTGTTGTTTTTCAGGTATAGGGGATATATCGAGGAATAATCTAGACATGGCTTCTGCCCTGCTGGAGTTTACAGTACGGTGAGGAGAAAGAAGCTAAGCTAACCAGGGATGCAGTTATCAGGTGGGGATCAGTGCTTGCAGAAGAGCTGGAAAAACCTATAGAAGGAGGAAAGGGATAGTAATCTAGTTTGGGGGATTTGGGGAGGATCAGGAAAGGGATCCCAAGAAGGCAATATCAAACTGAGCTTTAAAGAGTTAGTCAAGAATGTTTTGGTAGCGTGTGCAAAGGCCCTGTGGAGGGAGGATTTGAAGAACAGAGAGGCCAGTGCAGCTGGAGGAGGGATGGAAGGGAAGAGGGTGAGAGCTTCGGGAGATTGAGACCACACAGGGCCTTGGCTTGGTGAGGAGTTTGGATTGTTCTATGAGTCAGATAGGAAGTCATGGCGGGGCTTGGAGTGACAGGGTACCTACCATGTGTTGCTGCTACTGAAGGAGGCCAAAGGCCCTCTCTGCCCCATCCAGCCCTTGGGGACAGCACCTATCACCCTGCATTGTAACAGTTCATCTCCTTGGGAGATGCTGGGGCTCTGCTATAGGACAGGTGCTTAGTGAGATGTTATCGAATGAATGGCCAGGGGCAGACTGCAGAATTCTGTTTTCCAGTCTGGGGCTCCCAACTGCCCTGTACCATGGCCTCAAAGGCCTGGAAGAGAGCAGGGGAGAGCCCAAACTATTGGGGGTGCCAGCCTGCCTGCATGACCTCACCTATTTCTCCCAACACCCTGTGAAATCAACGTTCTTTCCCCTATTTCACAGATGAGGAAACTGGTCTCAGGGAGGAGCAAGTACTTGGCCATGGCTGCATGGCTGGTAAAGACCAGAGCACTATTTGAGCCCATGGTTGGCCTCTACCAGGAGAAGGGTGGACCGTCAGGCATTGTGACTGGAGATCTCTTCCAGGTTCTACCTGTGGGATAAGTGTGTTGGGATGGAGGGCAGGTACTTCTTCTCCCTGCAACCCTTCACCCAGTTCCCTTCTGAACTCACCAGTGCACTAGGCAGTTCCCCCCATTGAGGCGGCAACAGTGGATGAAGTTGATACATTCTTTGAAGTGCTTTTTGCTAAAGAAGAAAGCAATGCACTGAGGGGGAGAATTCCTAGGAATTGTTCCCTTCCCTACTCATTGGATGGCAGGGGTCCAAGAGCCATGTGCAACCGGTAGGGGTCAGTATTGTAGTATGAGGTAAAGGTGTGTGTGGAGCAATGATGGTTTTATTTCGGGCAGTGAGGGGACAGTAACAGGAAATCCTGCCATATAGAGAGCAGCAGCCAGAACCACCTGGGCCGGAACCGCCTCTCCAATGGGTGTAGTGGATCCTACATTCACAGCCTTTAATTTGGCCTTTCAAGGGAATGAGTAGAAGGAAATTCAGTGTACCAGTTCCCTGGGGTCTGCCAGTAAAGCACCTGGGAACAATGGGAGTGGCTGGAAGCAAGATTCCCAAGTATCTGTTTAAGTCCATCCCAGGTTGGGGAGACATAGAGTGCTGCTAATAACACTAAGAAAAAGCCAACGTTCTGAGTCCCCATTATATATCAAACCCTGTCCTAGATCCTCAACCTATGTTCCTCCTCTCCTTGAAACTGATCTCACCAGAAGAGGCTCAGAGAGGGAAAATGGTTTATTCATAGCACACAACAGATAAATGGCAAAGCCTGGCTAGGACCCAGATGTTGTAACTCTGAGGTCAGGGACAGGTTGGGCCTGACCCTTTCACATCTGTTGGTGCACCTCATCTCAAGAGGCAGGATACTGAGGAGATGTCATACTGAGGAGATTGAGGCAGACTGAGGGAATGTAAGAGTCTTGGCAGTGGGTGCATCACAAGGGCCTGGCTAAGACAAATCAAACCTGGGTCTGGGTGACCACGCATGCTGAGTCCCTAGGACAGCTCGATGGTTTGAATCTTTTCTGGTCTCTTTTAGGCCACCTCATGCCACACCATCTCCCAAACCACCACCACAGAAGGCAGGTCAGCAGGGGAACTTACATAGGTACCTCAGGGGTGTCGGCCACTGGGATGCGAAGGTAGGCAATGTCCTGCAAGTACAAAACACACACAGAAAGTAGGGGTGGGGAAGCCCCTTGCCCACACCATACTCCTCTTGCCCTGGCCTGAGCTGCCTAACTGCCCCATGACCCAAGCTATTTTTCTCCCCTGTCTGGGTATCTATAGTTCTATGTGATCAAAAGAGGGTAAATGCCATTTTAGTCCTGACTGTCTGTGATTCTGAGTAGATACCACATATCCTAACTCTATAAGTGACTTAGACACGACAAGGACTGGCTAGAAAAGAACCCAGAGCCCCTTTGCCTGGTAGTTGGGAAAGGGTTACTTAAGGAGTGATTCTCCTCTAAATGGGGACCAAAACGCATAAATAGGGCAAAGCAGATTTGATTATGTTGAAAAGAAAAAAAAATATGAAAATAAGCTTGTATTTTATGAACTGTGTTTAAAAATCATGTATTAATCATCAGAATAATCAAGGAATGAACTGTGTCCATAATTTTTCCAATAAAATTTCTACGACATCCTATGCTTCACGTTTACCCTTCATACAAGATCATTTTGCTCTAATGTTCCAAGGACTTTGTTGCATTTTCTCAAGGACTTCCCTTCATCCTTTAATATTCAAATGCTGCTTTTCAGGTGCCAGGCCCCTCACTGGCCAGGTTCTCATTTGTCAGTGACTTTGTGTGAGATTCCAACCATTCTTCAACTGGATGTCCTCAAGGTCACACAATCCTGCATCTTTTGCAAGGTTTGCAATTTCACTTTGCAAAGCATTTGGCCTTGAGTTTGCATGACATCAAGCCTTGACTGGCAAATTCACCATGAATGAGGAGGAAGCGGAGCTTGTGGGAAGAGGGGAGGCCTGTGAGAGCAGGGACTCCTTTTATAAGCAATGATTTCATTAGTAAATACAGATAAATTCATAACCTGACAGCCTTCCCTAGGCATGGATATTGCTTCTTTGGAAGAAAGGAAGATTATGTTGTTGCTGTTGTTGTTAAGTGCAGTTGTTGAGTAGGTTCTGACCCATAATGACCCTGTATAGTTTCTGAGGAGCGGCTGGTGGGTTTGAACTGCTGACCTTGCAGTTATCAGTCCAGCGCTTATCTTACAGAGCCACACAAGGATTCCCCTTATTATAATATCAGCTGTAATTTATTGAACACCTATTCTGTGGGTATTACACTCAGTCACCCTCAACAACTTAGTAAGGTAGGTAGGTAGGTAGGTGATGGTTGTGTGCTGTTGAGTTGGTTCCGATAAATAGTTACCCACAGACCCCTGGATAGGTCCCTGAGGCTGACATTGTTTTGAATGGCTGACCTTATAGTTAGCAGCCCAATTCGTAACCCAATACGCTACCAAGGCTCCTAGAGATAGGTAGGTTGGTTGGTTAGTTATATGCTGTGGAATCGGTTCCAACTCATAGCGACTCTGCATAGGGTTTCCGAGGCTATAAATCTTTACAGGAGCAGAAAGTCTCATCTTTCTCCTGCAGAACAGCTGGTATTTTCGAACTGCTGACCTTCAGGTTAGCAGCCTGACTTATAACCAGAGCTCCTTTCCTTTGAGTGAGTGAGTGAGTGAGTGAGGGAGGGAGTGAGGGAGGGAGGGAGGTACTATTGCAAAATCCCCATTTTACAGATCAGGTCAGAAAGGCGAAGTGTCATGCCCAAAGTTACAGAGGGAATCGTGCTAAGGATCTGTACTTGGTCCTTTGGATGTATCTCTTTCTGCCTTTGGGTCCGAACACCAGACTGACTCCCCTTTCTCAGGATCAGCTCCTCTGGTGTAAGCCATGCTTTCTAGCTGCAAACGTCTTCATCACTCTGCACAACAACCTCTTGGGGAAAGAAGCCCAGAGAGGTGAAGTCACCCAGCAAAACATCCAGCCCAGAATGATCCATTTGGAATCATTTGTCTGGTTGAGCAATGGTAAGCTGACATGGGGGCCTTTACAGGTTCAGTGTGAAGCCAGACAGCCTGTGCCCACATTCTGGCTCCTCCACTTTCTGGCTGTGTGACCTGAGGTGAATTAGTATACCTCTCTGGGCTGAAGGAGACATATTGTTGTTGTTGTTATGTGCCGTGGAGTCGGTTCCGACTCATAGCAACCCTGTACAGGGTTTCTGAGGCTGTAAATCTTTACGGGAGCAGAAAGCCTCATCTTTCTCCTGCGGAACAGCTGGTAGTTTCGAACTGCTGACCTTGTGGTTCGCAGCTTGATTCATAACCACTACGGTACCAGAGCTCCTTGAAGGTGACAAATTGATAATGTAAAACAGGCCAGTGGTGAAGACTAAATGTAGTAGTGTGGTCAAGTTGTCAGCACAGGGCCTACATCCCCCCTCACCTGTCTGCACCCTTGGGGTGGGGGTCACGAGTACCTGCAGCAGAGGCTGGGGTGACTCATGGATGGAGATGATGTGGGTGATCTTATTCCGGCCCAGCTGATCCGGGTCTTTGGCATCTGAAAGAAACAGGATGCTGGAGCCAATTGGCAGGTAGCTCTTTATTTGTTGCTGATGGCCAAGAGAGCTGGGCAGCTTGTTCCCACGTGCCCTCCCCTTTCACCTTGGCCTACCCTCTGTCCCCATCTCCTGCTCCTGGCATGACAGGTCCTGCCACTCCCCCAGGCCTTAATCTTGAATCTGGGGACACCCCCAAGTCATATCTTTCACCCTTGCCTATGTTGCTTTTTCCATCCCAGCACCCTTCCCTGGCAGATCCTCTGACCCAGCAATTCTACTTCCAGGAATCTCATCTACAGAAGTGTTTACTCACACATGGGGAGCTGTGTGTAAAGGATGGATATTTTCTGCAGTGCAGCTTGTAACAGTAAACACAGCAGAAAATATTCAAAAAGGGAAGCAATCAAAATGCCCAACTAAAAGAGGCTGGGAGAATAATAATAGAGCCATACTTTAGAATGCTGTGCAGGCATTAAAAGGTCTCTGTGCTGACGTGCTAGGATGCCCACGATGTAGTTAAGTGGGAAACACAGGTTACAGAACAGTTTGCAGATCTGTTTCTATGTGGAGGCTTCAAAAAATTCTGTTAACATTTCATTCCATTTTCCCATAAACTTTTTGAAGCCCCCTTGTATTTTTGTTTGGAAGATAAAACTTATATCCACAAAGACAGGAGTCTGGGGGGTGCAAATGGTTTTCAGTTGGCTGCTCATGGAAAGATTGGCAGCTCAAACCCACCCAGTGACTGAAGAAGACCCTAGTGATCTGTTTCTGTAAAGATTTCTGACTGTTGTCTGTTGTGCAGTTATTTTGGAATCGCTCACTAAGTCTTTCTCCCGAAGATCTGCTGGGTGGGTTCAAACTGCCAACCTTTTGGTCAGTAGTTGAGCACTTAACTTTATTGTATTACCAAGGATCCTCTGTCAAGATTATAGCTTACAAAACCCCATGGCACAGTTCTACTCTGTAACACATGGGGAGGCCATGAGTTTGGGGCTGATTCACTGGCAATTAACAACATCCACAAAGGTATTGACCCAAAATTATAGCCTCCACAGCTAGCAGTGGTTTTCTTGAGGGCTTGAATTTTCAGTGCATGCAGATTTTTCATAATTGTTGTTGTTAAGTGCCATTGAGTTGGTTCCGACCAATAGCGACCCTGTATAGGGTTTCCCAGGAGTGGTTGGTGAACTTGGACCACCGACCTTGTACATTAATCCGCAGCGCCACGCCAGTAGTCCTGTTTCATAATTAGAATATATAGTATTTGTCCACTTTTGCTTTCATACGTACACTTCCTCATTCAGCACACATTTGCTGAGTACCTACTATGTTTGGTCTTTGGCTAGGTACCAAGGATATGGAGTCAATTTCATGGCCCCTTCCCTCATGGACTTGTACACTTAAGGAGGTTCAGATCTTACAAGGGGCTTCATAAAATTTGTGGGAAAATTCCATTATCATTTAATTCCATTTCCCCACAGACCTTCTGAAGCCTCTTCGTATTAGCCAAACACTCACTTCCTTCCTGGGAGCAAGGAAGTGAAGGGACCAGAATTTGTGGGACTAAAGCACCTGAGTCTAGCAGGGGTGGGAGTGGCTGGGGAAAGCTCTGCTCTACCTTCCAGGCCCAGCTCAAATGCCCCTTCCTCTCTGAAGTTTTCTCTGACTACCCAGATGAAAGTGAATTTTCCTGCCTTGGGTTCTCCAAGCCCCTGGTCTCTGTTTACATGTGTCTTCCCAACCTGAGGACAGGGTGGGGTGTCTGCCCATCCATCAGTGCCCTCCTAACTGATGCTTGTGGGCATGGGGAGTAAAAAGGCCTCTAGACCCACCACTCCCTCTGGCTGGGGCCTATCCTGCTCATCTCAGGGGCTCTTCTGGTGGGTGATGAGTTCAATGCTCAGGACCCTGTTTATAGGACACAGACCTCATCCCAGAACCTCAGGGCCTGGTGCTAAGTCGAGGCTGAGGCCAGAATAGTTCTACAGTACAGGTCCTGAGCCCTTTGCTTTGTCCTTTGACCTCTTAGTGAAACATTGGTGGGGGAAGGGCAGAGGTGGCAGTTGTCACTGCCCTTGGCCCCCTCCCCACACCCAGAGTTCTCTATGAGCCCTTCCCCTCCCTGCCTCCCACCCCATTCTTCGAGTGTGTCTAAGGTACGTGGGCCAGAGCCTGAATGGTGGACACCAGTCTGGGACAGGCCAAGTGCCATGGCCTTGGGACAGTGGGCAGTGCTCACCAATGAAGTTTCCGAGGTAGAGTCCAGGAAGTACCTACAGGAAAGACAGGCCCTGTCTGTGTGGGGTCAGTTCCCTTCTTCCCAACCCCCAGCCCCTCCCTACCCCCCAAGGGTATTGAGGCTCTAAGTAACCCCCTCCCCCTTCTGGGGTCTGGGGCTCTGGGGAGGCAGGTGCTAGGGCATGTCAACCACAAGGAGGGCATCAGGGAGATGAGCTTGGGTAGGGGTGAGAAGGGAAGAGGAGGGAGTCAAAGGAGGAAGGGGAGGGAGGGGCAACAAGACTTGAGGAGAGGGTGGGGGGAGCAGAGAGGCGCAGTCTAGGAGAGAGGTGGACTTGCCAAGGGGGTGGCAGGAAATTCTCCGGGGGAGAGAGGCAAGAAAGCAGAGACAGGTGAAGAAGGGACCTGCAGAGGCAGAGGAAGTCTCATAGACAGGGAGAGACGGAGAAACAGTCCCAGGGAGAAAGTCCAGAGTCAGAGGCAGGGAGACAGAGACACAGACCCACAGACACAGCAAGAGAGAAAGCCACAGAGAGATAAGACAGAAAGAGACAGATACACATGGTGAGAGAGCAGGAGAGAGAGAAAGGCAAGAGACACCCGGAGATTCAGAAAGAGAAGAGTGAGACCCAGAAGGTCAGAAGCAGGCAGATAGAGGTAGCCAGCACCAGGGTGCGCAGCGGGGGGCGACCAGGCGAGGGCGGCGAAGTCCCCGCCCCTACCTTGGTCATGCCATTTCCCATGATCCCCGGGGCGGGGGTCCGGGCGCACGCCCAGCTTGCCTCCCGGAAAGAGTTCGAGTCCCAGCTTCCCTGCTGGCTCGGGCCCGGTGCCTGCAGCCTGGCGAGGAACGGGGGTGGCCCGGCGCCTGCGGCCCTGGCCAATTTTGCCCAGCCGCTGCCAGTGACCGCCGTCCCTGGGCCAGGGAGGGAAATGATGGTGGAGTCGCCGCCGCCGCTACTGCCACCACTGCCGCAGGCTCCTCCTACCCCCTCGGTCATGTGGGGGCCCGTGGGTCGCGGCGGGGGCCGGACAAAGCCCCAGTGTGCCGGGCCCACGGCCCGCGGGACAACGGCAGCTTGTTGGGGCCGCGTGGGGCCGCCACCTCCGGAGTGGGGGGCGGGGGCGCTCCTCCCACCCTGGCACCGTCAGGCGCGGGTGGGGCGGGGGGAGGGGTGCGGAGACTGGGATCCCAGTTCCCGCTCTGCCTGGACCTCTCTGTGGACCCTGAGACAAGGTCCCTAGTTTCTCTGACCTTGGCTTTTCAGCAAAAACTTGAATGGGGACAGGGTTTTGATCAAGAAGGGCCTTCTGCTCTTTAGACTCTGAAGTGGGTAACTCCTCATTTGTTACACCCATTCTTCCTCTAGCCCACGCAGTCATTCCTACCATTCAGCCAGCGTCCTTGGTCCCCCAGTCAGCATCCCTCCTCCCACCCTCGGATTCATTCATTCATCCATCCATCCACCCACCCACCGAATCTATCCATCTATTTAGCTCTTCTTTCAATTCACTTTGGCCCATGAGGATACTGACAACTGGGTCAGCTCTTCTGGGCTCAGACAACTGTTATTAGGGACTCCAAGGAAGCAGAAGTGAATGTGTGTGTGTGTGTGTGTGTGTGTGTGATGGGGGTGGTGGTGGGGCTGGGGAGAGGACAGAGGCACAGCTGTGGAAGGTCTCCAATACCCAGGACTAAAATGACTATAATAGGATGTAGTTAGAAGCAAGAGTCCTGGAAGATGAGTCTGGAGACCAAGGTGTGAGGCCCCATTCCACTTTAGATTTGCTGAGTGATTCTGGACAAGTTCCTTTGGGGCCTCAGCTACTCCATTTGTAGGTCTCAACAGCTACTCATCTGTAGATCTCAAATGAGGACCCTTTCTAGCTATTAGCATCAAAGCTGAAGAATATTAAATAATTGTGACTAAGAGTCACAATAAGCACTTCCTAGGAGTCCTGGTGTGGAGAGCAGGGGTGGAAGGATCTCTGGTAGTGGAGTGGTTACGAGACAGGCTGTTAACCTAAAGGTCAGCAGTTCCTCTGCTCCCATAAAGATTTACAGCCTCAGAAACCCTATGCGGGGCATAACACCACCATCAGAGCAGGGGTGGGGAACGTCTGGCCCACGGGCCATAAAAGGCCCCCCAAATCATTTAGTCTGGTTCTGCCAAGGCAACTGCAGTTCCAGCCATCACACTTTGTTGTTCAGTGCCATCGAGTTGGTTCTGATTCATAGTGACCCTGTATAAGATGTCCAAGTAGCGGCTGATGAGTTTGAAGCATCAACCTTATGGTTCAAACTGGCCTTGACGGTCCAGTGCTTTCTCCCACAGCGGCACACCAGAACTGCAGCCATCGCATTGTTGCTGTTGTTTAGTGCTGTGGAGTTGGTTACAACTCATAGCCACCCTTCATAGGGTTTCCGAGGAGCAGCCAGTAAGTTTGAACCACCGACCTTGTGGTTCAAACCGAGCTTGCGGTACATGCATTACCCTGCAGCACCACACAAGGACTCCAGCCCTCACATTAGGGGTGAGTTGATTAAATGTTTGACCAAATAGAGCAAGCTAATTTTTTTTTTTGTCTTTTCAAAAGCTTCTATTGTGTATTGATTGAGTGAGTGAAAGTTTCCAGGGCAGATCATCAACCTTATATTCAGCAAATCATTGTAAGGATTACAGTCTCCTCCATGCACCTTTGTTGTTGTTGTTGTTAGGTGCCATCGAGTCAGAATCTACCTATGGCGACCTTATGCACAGCAGAACGAAACACTGCCCAATCCTGGGCCAACCTTACTACTGTTGCCATGCTTGAGTCCATCAATGCTGCTACTTGGCCAATCCATCTCGTTGGGGGTCTTCCTCTTTTTCTCTGACCCTGCACCTTACCAAGCATGATATCCTTCTCCAGTGACTGGTCCCTCCTGACAATATGTCTGAAGTATGAGAGACAAAGTTTGGCCATCTTGGCCTCCAAGGAGCACTCTGGCTACACTTCTTCCAAAACAGAGCTAATGGTTCTTTTGGCAGCCCATGGCACTTGCAATATTCTCCTCCAACACCATAACTCAAAAGCATCAATTCTCTGGTCTTCCTTATTCACTGTCCAGCTTTCGCATGCATATGAGGTTATTGAAAATACCATGGCTTGGGTCAGGCGCACCTTAGTCCTCAAGCTGACATCTTTGCTCTTCAACACTTTAAAAAGGTCTTGTGCAGCAGATTTGCCATTTGATTTCTTGACTGCTGCTTCCGCGAGTGTTGATAGTTGATCCAAGAAGAATGAAGTCCTTGACAACTTCAATCTTTTCTCCGTTGATAAGAATGTTGATTATTGGTCCAGTGGTGAGGATTTGTGTTTTCTTTACATTGAGTTGTAATCCATACTGAAGGCTGTGCTCTTTGATCTTCATCAGTAAATGTTTTAAGTCCTCTTCACTTTCAGCAAGCAAGGTTGTATCATCTGCATATCTCAGGTTGTTAATGATCTTCCTCCAATCCTGATGCCACATTTTTCTTCATATAACTATGTACCCTTAGCCAACCGTATTTACCTCTTTTTTTTTTTTTTTTTTGAAGTGCATATATACTTATTTAAATGTCCAAATAGCACATTTTGCAAGCCAGCTTCCTGCCTTTCTCAGTTTGCTGCTCCGTCTCTCCATGCTATCGCCTCTGCCACCATCTCGGCTGTTACTGCTTTTCTGCTTAGAATCCCTCGTTCTTCGCATGTTCCTCCCTCTTGGTGGTCCTAGGGTCCTCTGCTTCTGAAATGACAGATTAACTGCTCCCCCTTTTAGTTGCACCTCTTCTACATTTACAGTTGTGACAATCGCCATTAGAGCTGAAAACAATTACTCGCAATTGAATAATAACATCTTATCCTCCTCATCACCCAACCCATCTGGATAAGAGGAAAACTGTTCAGTAGGGTTTCTGTTTTACTCCCCTCGTTCTGACACTAAGAACCCTCATGAAACCTTGTAAGACAGCCACTACGTGCTTTATAGCCCCCCAATTTTGATAGCCAAAGTCTAAGTTGCCTGTCCCCATCAACTCAGTGTACTGAGGACATGCCTGATCCTTGCTATGTAGAATCCTTCCCTAATTGGTTGGAATTTTGGGCAACCTCATTTATAAGCAAAAGTCCAGTTGATTAGGTTGCAGCAATTTACGCTTGCTCCCTGTATAATACTTCTTTATCTCATCTGGTTGAATTCTGGTCAGCAAGTCATCCAAGTTAGGTCATTAAAATGGGTCCTGTCTGCAAGTTTAGGAGTTCTCGCACACCTCCCCACTCTTCAGACCACCTGGCTGCTTCATTCTTTACTCTAGTCCCCAGTGGTTAGGTCAGGCTCAGGAGTTCACACATCTCCCTGAACTTCAAACCAGCCAACCCACCCTCTTCACTCTCTCATCTCAAGATCATCAGGGTCCATGGAATCTCTCAGCCCATGTCTTTTTTGCTGCATTTCCCCCTCTTCTACTCACAAGTTGACCAGGGCAGTCACCAGCGAGCGTACAAGACTGTTCGTGTGTTCCCTTTGAGTTTCAGTCTTAGAAAGGGGTTTATCCCGATGAGCTGACTTTTCTTGCCTTGATGGCTACAGGGCAAACTGCTAGAGAAGACTAGGTATTGTTTTTATTAAACCTTAGGAAGGAGGAGCTAATAGTAACCCCTTATTTATTGATTTATTTTAAATAATATTCATTATGTTTTAGGTAAAAGTTTACACAGCATACTAGACTTCCATTTGATACATTTTATGCAATGTTCAAGGTCATATTTTGGCTCTCGTGGACTTGTTTTCATTTTCTTCAGCTTCAACTTCAATTTGCATATGAGTAATCGATGGTCTAAGGAGCTCTGGTAGTGTAGTGGTTACGAATCGGGCTGCGAACCACAAGGTCAGCAGTTCGAAACTACCAGCTGTTCCGCAGGAGAAAGA